GAAGCTCATGAAACTCCTAGGGGGCAATGATCATTCATTGATATTTCATTGCGATTATTCATTGCTATGTAACCAGTTTTTCCGCTTTTACTTTGTCACGTTCGTGACGATTTTTCTTCTATAATAAATACGATCGTGAAGTGGAAGTTGTCATGTAATTGTGAGAAATGACGTTAGAGGCGTGTTATAATTTGGTCGTGATGTATATCAAAATAGAAAAATTCTGGAGCTGAAATCTTTGATCGCAATCAGATCACAATCGCAAATCGCAATCATTGATAGCAATGCCACCTCAACTGACCCATGTCTGAGGAGAATGTGCAAAAAATGAAATAGTTCCAAGAAACTGCTTCACCATCTGTGAAATAAAAACTGGAAAAGTAAAACAGTAAAAAAAAAATGTTCACTCCAATTGAAAATTACTCAGTACAGGCATGCTTGAAGAATGCAATGGCCCCCCCTCCCCCCCCCCCTTCCCATAAACAATATGAATTCACACTGATGCTAATCAAGTTCATATTTTCATTCGATTCGTGACCCTCGCAGGGATGCGATGTTCCTCTAAATACTGAGTGACACCAAACTTAATTGATTACTTGACCGTATCGCGTGCATGGTCTTTCACACAGGACACGAAAGTTTCGTTCGACTCCCCCGCCTGGACGAAACCTTGTTTTTTCATTCCGATTCCATTATCGTTCCAAATGAAATCATTTGTTTCAACTGAATCTCCCCTTACGAAAATGCCTTATAGGGTTCCAATATATTTCCTAAAGGAATATATAAGAATCCTATAGGGACAAATAGGAATCCTACAGGTTCCTATAGGCCCTATAGGGAACCCTATAAGCCCCATAGGGTTCTGTTTGGGACCTATATGGTTCCCTATTGGCCTATTGGGTTCCGATTGAAGTTCTACTCTATGCCACTAGATGGAGGTAAGGGATTATCGCATTTCTCAAAGAACACAAAGGTGCCCTCCCATTACCCATGGAATCATCTCTCACCAGAGAGTTTTGTAGATCCCCAAATGTCTCGCCTTGCTTCATTGTAGCAATCAATAAACTTCGGCACTTCCTTATTTGTCATCCCCATCTTCCAGATAGAATCATGGAGTCTAGGCCAGAAATATGCCCATATTCCCTTTGAAAACCATGTAGGGGAAGAAAAAAATTTTATTCAAAAGGAGTTTCTGTAAGGACGTGCGCGCAGGTTCTGTCTGCCGTTTCCTAAGGTAGAGAAGAGAATAATGTCTCTCTATCGAATAAAGTGATCCAGCGACGTATGTGAACCTGGGCAGTAAATTATGCGTACCTAAGCAGTAGCAGTATCCGAAATAAGAGGGCCCCTACCATGGCAAAACCCCTAGTCGTTAATTAATTTGCACCAAAATGCTGCGTCAATATTGACAACGGCGGCCATTCCCATTGTAATGCCAGGGTTTCGAAACCCAAAAATCCGCCCCAAATCCTATAGGTCAGGAGTCCTATACCACCCTATAGGTTTTTCGTGTTTCAAAAACCTATTTAAAAAATATCTATAGCTTTCCTATAGGACATTTCTGTAAGGGTAATCATACCTTAAATTTGTTTTTCTGCTTTCAGCGATGCCGCATGCACCGTGGCCGGATGCTGGGAGGGAGTTCTAGCATGAATGCCGGCATATACACCCGAGGGAATCACAAGGACTACGACAACTGGGCCGCCTTAGGGAATCCCGGCTGGTCCTTCAGCGACCTCCTCCCGCTTTTCATTAGGGCTGAGAACTTCCTCGTAAAAGATATCTCTCCTAGTAAGAATGAAAAAAATCCTGCAGAGCCAAAGGCCAATCTCTTCGTCCGGCATGTGTCTAAGATAATAATACCTAATCAGTATATGGTGAATTGTTGTTGCTAATATGAATATTTAAAATTAATGTTAAAACTACGGCAAAAGTATGGGTTGGGGAAACGCAACTGGAGTGAATGGGGGGAATTTCCTATTGGATAATCGATATTTCTGGGCTTTTCTGGTCGGTTTAATGCGGAAATTCACGAAGCAAATAGAGCGGCTCGCATTCGCAACTCATTGGATGATTGACGTTATTCAGAGAGAGAGAGAGATCTCATCTGAATCCGAGCGGTCGACGCACCTGCCATCCACCTCCGACTTGGACTCGGGTGGTTCCCATCGAACGTGCAGGTCTGAAGTAACGGTGCCTCGGAGATGTTTCGGGGCTGCGAGTAGTGCAATGCTCTGCTTGAAGGATCGATCCTCAGCATAGAAAGGACTCTTCGCAGCTCTGTTGAAGATTCTTCAGTGTTCTCTTGTATGTATATTGCTAGCAGTCGAAGGTAAAAGTTGCTGCAAGTTATCTGGTTCTGATTAATACGCGGCATTAATCACCATCTTGATTAATGCTTCTCAAGAAACTCGCCTGGTTGGATTACAATCCTCATTCAGTATTCAGTATCATCTAGTTTTTGATAATCAATCCATTAATTGATATGAGCTAATGGATTGCGCACCTTCCGCATGTACCGTTTTTTTTTATCGTTCTGCGTACCCTCATTTGCCAAAAGATTGTATACACGCTCCAAATGTTTCTTCTTTTTTTTGGTCCAAAGGAGATGCATATTATCACGGGAATGGCGGTCATCGCGGATATTTCCCCGTGTCCCACGCCTACAATTCTGAGCTCCTGCCGGCATTCATCCAAGCTGGGAGGAGCCTGGGTTTCCCATATAATCACGACTACAACGGAGCCTCTCAGAACGGTGAGCCTCGTCCACGAAAATGTTCGCTATCATGCACTGCTTCCCGAACTTGCTTCCTAACTGGGACCACGGAACAGGTTTCAGCAAAGTGCAAATCGCGTCCGAGGAAGGAATCCGGCACAGCACGGCCAAAGCGTATCTGACGCCCGTGAGGCATCGCAGGAACCTCCACGTCGTCCTCAACACCCGCGTCTCCAGAGTAAGTTCAGATCACAAATACCAGAGACAGGCCACAATATACGAGGTATGAAAAATTCCAACTCCTGTATTAGGCCCATCCAAACCGATTGTATCTCGCTGAGATGCTCCTTGGCAGCTCTTGCGGCTTCCCCCCCCCCCCCCTTTACCCCCATTCCACTTCCCCCGGCATAACTGANNNCCCCCCTTTACCCCCATTCCACTTCCCCCGGCATAACTGAATGCATTTATTTTCATGAGTCCTATGGAGGCGAAGGCAGTGGCTATGCTGTTAGGTATGCGTCTGCATAGATGCCGGATTAGGTTTCCACCCAAGCTCTCCCACGTTCAAATAGGTTTTGACGGTAACGACTGTTTCGTCTAGTCACTCCCAGATCACCGAGAAAGTTGATCTGAGATTGACCAGGCGGAATATTTGTCACTGTCCTCGCTTCATAATTTTTTCCCCATCCAGATCGTGATAGACGAGACGACGAAGACGGCGAAGGGGGTCGAGTACCTGACTGAAGGAGGTTCCACGCGCTTCGTATCGGCGAGGAGGGAGGTGATCCTGTCGGCTGGGGCCTTCGCGTCTCCTCAGATCCTCATGCTCTCCGGGATCGGACCCAAAGCCGAATTAAGGCGACATGGGGTGAGTCTCAACCTTCGCGTCGATGAAATTCCTTGTATTGCAAGGACGCATACCTACCAGGAAGAATAGTCTTCTGCTCTACTTTCGGATAGTTTTTAAAGTGAGATATTCGGCGGGGACCACACAAAAGATAAGGGACGAACAGCTGCAATCGAACGCGTGTTAGACACGGAGGTAATGTTGGCCCAAGGTCGGCAATGGTATCTCCCGACAACACGCCTACCCAACTTGACAGCCCTTAAGGCACGGAACTATCCGCGACCTCCGAAGCCAGCAGATGGGCGGCCTGAATGCACGTCGGAGGAGCAGATGTGTCAGATTCTATTTCTGTCGGGAAAGACGTTGAATTCCGTAGATGAATTTTGTCGACAGATGTACGCCTATACAACAATGTTAAGAGGGGACCGAGCAGTTCAAATTCGTCTGAATGGCGGTGACGACGGAAACTTGCTCCGAACACCTCAAAAACTGCCATTTCCATGCACAAATTTCCTCGCAATCCCATAGTGGCGCCCAGATAACGGTTCCCCAAGAACAAGCGCTTTAACAGAGGCAGGGGGGCGCAGCAGGTGATGCTTGCTATTGTGTGCTTCGTGCCCAGCTTTTTCTATGTGGAGTGCTTGAAGAAATCGGTTCAACATTCCACGTGCACAACAGTCGATAACCATGTAAAAATAAAAAAATAATTCACAAAATTAAAGTTCTCCCATAAGTATCTGACATCAACACGAGAAATCCATGTGTTTCGTGACTTTCCCCCTCAAATTCTTTCAATACTTGGAATGTATTTATAAATAGTAAATAAGCAAATCCGGGAAGAACAGAAGGACTGATTCCCTCCGTAAACGTCTGATCCCGAACGCTGCAACCATTTCCCCAACCCGCAGATCCGCCCCATCGTCGATCTCCGAGTGGGCGAGAACATGCAGAGCCACGCGGGTCCCGGCGGGCTCTCCTTCAGCATCGAGAGGAACGCCGGCTTCGACGTCCCGCAGCTCTTCACGGCCCGCCTCGTTCCCACCACCCTCCAATACATCTCGAAGGGCGACGGTAGCTCGAAACATCCCTTTGGGCTCGGTGGAGGTTCATGCGCGATGAGTTTCGGGGTTTAACTGAGCGTATTGCTATGCGTCGATTAGGGATTGCATCGGTTCTAACCCGACCATTCTATCGACGAACATCCAAAGGATGTGTTAAGTTGCAGTTGTTTCGTTTATTCGAAAGTAATTAATCGTCGTCGGTGGCGTAGCCAGGTTTTTTTCAATGGGGGGGCTGAACCCCCCCCCCCCCCCAGCCCCCCCCCTCGCTACGCCACTGATCGTCGTAAGCCCAAAACGTAATGATTCCCATTCCATCCAAGTTGTCGAGGTCAAGATTGGTCTCGACAAGGGGGGTAATCGCGTTGAAGAGTGCGACCTAATTTCATTATGCCCGCCGAGAGGCTTTTTAAATTTTAAAAGACATTTTAAATGAACGAAAATTCGTCGAAGGGTCTTTCGGCGTCATCCAGGAAGCATCGCCAGTCGTAGATCGACCCGTATCGTTTCTCACGAGTCGATGCGGGCGCCTTTCCTTTTTGCTGCCGGCGGAATTTCCGCGCGTGCGACTGCATTGAGAGGACTGCGTGCCTCGCGGACGGTCGCAGCTCTTCGCGGTCGTATTGCGTCGAGCCCCACAAATTTTGCCGAATTCGAGGTTTATTCGATTCCCTGGACCCAATCAGATGATATTTGCCATACATTTAAAATATTAGGTTCAGGCGAAATTGATTAAAATTTCATGTCGCAAAATTGCTAGTCCTCAGATTCTATGGAATCCTGGTACAAAAAAAAGGTGAAAACTCAGTCATCCTCGGTTTCTTTTCTAGACCGTTAATAGTCAGATGACAGAGTGCAATTTTCTGCAGTAGTCAGTGCAATTTTCTGCAGTAGTCAGCGCAATTTCCCGCAATTCTTGCATGCCTCACCCCAGTTCAGCAAACCTCATTAAATTCGTTTTGAATGCCTGCGCCCGACAAACCCCACAACCCCGTTCCTCGTTCCGAACGCCGTTCCAGGACCGTTCTCGACCGCATCCGGCTACGAGGGCATCGCCTTCGTCAACACCTCCTACGAGCGCGACCCCGACTGGCCCGACATCGAGCTCTTCTTCGGGACTCTCACGATCGGCACCGACGGCGGGATCTTCTACCGGCGAAGGCTCGGGCTCACGGAAGAGGTCTTTTAATTAATTAATTAATTTCCCGACTGAATGAGAATATTTCACGTTCTGCTAAATTCATAATTTCCTCTCAAGGTCTGGAAATCGTACGGAGGTTTGCTACTTAAACCAGGTTTCGAGATTTTCCCGTTCGTCATGCGACCGAAGAGTCGGGGAAAGCTTTTGCTACGCAGTGCCAACGTCCTCGATCACCCGATGATAATTGGGAACTTTTTCAAGCACCCCGACGACGTCAGGAGAACAATCGAAGGTGCAGATTCACAAATATTTCCAGATGTTTCCATTTCTGATAACTCGAATGTGGAAAATGTCGATTTCAATGAATGCCAGCCATTCGTTTGGTGCTGAAATTGGGAGAACAACCATCATTCAAGAAATTCGGAGCCAAATTCTACAGCCGGCCCCTCCCAGGCTGCAGGCATCTGAAACAGTTCACGGACAGATACTGGGAATGTCACATGCGTCACTTCACTTATCTGATCTGGCACGATGTCGGCACGTGCAAAATGGGGCCTCCCACCGATCCCGCGGCTGTGGTGGATCCAACCCTAAGGTATATAGCCTTCTCCGCTGATAAAATGGCGAATTTTATTGCGTGCTAATGAGTTATTTATCAAATTTGCAGAGTTTACGGAGTGCGGAAATTGAGGGTCGCAGATGCATCCATCATGCCGGTGATCACCACGGGGCACCCGATGGGAACCTGCATCGTCATCGGGGAGAAGGCCTCCGATCTCATCAAGTCATTCCATAATCTGTGATCTTTCAGCCAGGAATAAAGTCTCAGTTGCTCACTTTCCCGTGTCGAAGAGAAAAATGTGAGACTTGGTTTCCATTGGGAGCTGGGATTATATTGTTTTATTGTTTATATATATATATTTTTTATTCCTATAATATTTTCCTTCTTGCCGTAGGAATAGCCTATCATAAAAAAGGATTTTCCTAAAAATTTCCTAAAAATTCAGAAATAGCTAAATATAAAGAGAAAACATTTCATAGGGTTTTGTGGAATCTTGGGGGATATGGAATCTCCCTCGTGGGAAACAGAACCTCGATTAACCCGAGGGGCTCATTGAATTCGTTAAAATATATTTTTTTTATTTCAGTCCAAAGAGCGCTTGCGATTTTCCTTATTAAAAATACATCGAGAAAAATATTACTAAAGCCACTCGTCAGATTTGTTTGTCAAATTTGTTGGAGTAGAATTTCTTGGTTAGCAAGGGCCATTTAGAAAAAACTTTTAGGATCCTATACGATTTTTGAAACATGAAAATATTATAGGATTCTTAAAGGATTCCTACAGGAATTTTGCAGGATCCAAAAATAATGCTATAGGATCCCATAATAATTCTATAGGATTCCTCTAAGAATCCTATAAGGTTTTCATATTTTAAAATTATTATAGAATCCTATAGTATTTTCTCGTTTGCGTTCAAGACCGCGCCCCAATTCCCCATTTAACGTGCAAGGCCTCGAGCGCCCTGCGGGGCCGACCGTGATGCAATCGCGCGGGACGGCCAGTGGTTTCCCCATCTTCCTCGCGTATGTGTCGCTGGCTGAATCGTCGCTGGATTGCAGGCGAGTTTCGTTCCTTCTCCTTTAAGTGAATTTCGCTGTCGGTCGCCAAAAATGCAGCAATTTTTGCTGCAAGGCATTTCCATAGAAATGGGAGGAGTCGAAAGGCTCGGACGAAATCGGTTCAGGTTTGGCACTGTGCCTCTTTCGATAGCTATATACAATATAAATATATATATATACTTTATATATATATAACGGGAATTTGTCAATTTCCTCACTCGTCATGTTGCGTCGAGAAGACCGAAGACCTTTCAAGGCGACCTTTCCTCTTTCGTTCAGTAAATTCCGCCTTTTATTTTTCTTCGATTTTGATTGGGTTTCATAAAGCAATTATCTGTGCATACCTGGGAGTTTTTGCTGGCATATCACCGGATTGCTACATCGCATTGCTTCATCACTCGCTTCGTTACATCATCACTCTCACGTTTCCTCTCTAAATATTTCTCGAAGGAATCTGGATTCCTTCCGTCTGCCCACATTCGTCCGCGAAGTCCGAGTCCGGTTTTTGGAAGGAAAAATGCGAAGCGCCATTCCTTCAACCGGTTCTTCCGTGCATGATCTCCGCTAAATTTGCTCCTCGTAAGAAAGATGGCTGCCACTCGCCATCGTCTCGCTCGAAGAGCGTCATGGCCACCCGAAGGAATCGAAATTATCACATAGGCATTTCAGTGTGCCACGTGGAGGAGGTACGGGTGCAGTACGCCTTATAAACCACTCGTGGCTGTCACGGGCTTGGCCAATGGTGAGCTCCTACAAGCCTCTAAAGCAGTGTTTCTCAACCTGGGAGGTGTCACCTCCCCCGAATGCATGAAGTAAAAGGAAGGTTGAGAACCACTGCTCTAAAGGATTGTGAAGGGGTGACCCAGCCCGAGGCGCTGCCTTTCGGGTGTGGTGGCTGTGGAGGCTTTCTCTCTGGGATGCGTCTGTTGTCGTCTGCGTCCGTCGCATGGCCTGTCTTCCCTTTAAATGAAAATGTGAAATACATGTCCTTCGACCTGGAAAGGATCCACTTGGTCGAGCAGGGCTCGCTTCATCGCAGTTATCACAAGACAGATGTGAAACCACGTGCACACGCGGGCTGAAATAAATCGAATGGAAGCATTTCGTGCATCCCTTCTGCTCTCTCTTCGTCAGTTTAATTGTTAAATTAACAGTTAAATTGAGAGGCATTTTGTGCACTTTCATTCGCTGACTGACTCCAGAACTTTCTTGCGCGTTCAGTAGATCGCGTCCCAGAACGGTTCAGACTTCTCCCCCCTTTTGGGGGCTTTTTGAGAGCAACACCAAATTTCAAAATAGTTATTTAGAGCACTAACCGAATGCTGGAGACTCATGTGAAGCACTGTCATAAACCTGCGACAGGACTGGTAACGTGACAAGATCATCCCTGACATTTGCCACCAGCAACAACGTCTGTTGTCGACAATGCTTCGTACTCTCATTGTTGGCTGTGATCACTTCGCCTGGGAAATCCCAATCGCCACATTACAAATTCCAGTGCTAAAAATGGTGCGGACACCTAAACATAATATAAAATAATAATATGATACACCAACATAAAAACGTCAAATCGATTCAAACATTTCAAGCGCGTCCAATCCTTAAAAACGGTTTCTAAAAACTAATTCCAGCTGGAGACGCCCCCGCCGGGAATGGCCTGGACGCTCAACCTCGCCTGGGCGCTGGGCTTCATCTTCACCCACAAATTCTTCTTCCTCAACGAAGTCGACAATCCCGCAGGCTTCTCCAACTTCGGGCGGCGGATCGGTGACTCCTACGACTTCATCGTCGGTCAGAACAAACACATAAAATCCGTGAAGCGTGCAGTATGGATTCCTGTGGGAATTCTACAGGATTCTTTAAAATATCTATTGAAACCCATAGGAAACCTATAGGATTCCTTTTGGACCATTTTGTAAGGAATCAGACCGTCTAATCCCAGTCTGCGCATCAATGTTAATGCAATGTTGTAACAGCATTGAAGTCTCAACAATGTTGAGTCGACAATGAAGAACATTGCTTGCAACATTGACTCAACGTTGAAGTGAGACAAGTCTCAATTATTTCTCAATGCGCATTACGCATGGCTCGGTCTCGCAAGCAGGCGAGAAAGACCCGAGGAGAGGAGGTCGCTTAACTCTGTCACTGGGTAGGCGAGATTCTTCCCACGCTCGCCAGATGGCCTTGACTCCACCGGGCAGATCAATCTGCAACGTAGGCACACACTACGGGTACTTCTACTTGTGGCGGAATATATCCTTCCAAGACTGTATTTAGATTTGGTCCAAAAACGTCGAAGGAGGGGCTTGCGTGAAGCATGATACCCCTCTGCCCTAAATCACAAAAAGGCCGCAGACCCGGTCAGAGGTGGACGACAGCAGGGATTAAGGACTCCCATCAGTGTTGCCAACTCATAACCAACTTGAACGAAGAGGTCCTGTCAGTTCCGACTAAATCCTTGAATTAATGATTTCTCTTTCGCAAAAATGAAGCACAAAGATGAGCTTCTGTTGAATTATACATGCTAGAAGGACCTATTGATTGAGCTTGTCTTCCATTGAGGCAGACTTTCGATACGGGTGAACCGGACGCGATCGTCAATAGAAACATGAAGAGTATGTATTAATAAATACGTGGTGCGACAGGTGCTGGAGCACGCTGGACTTCATATATATCGAGCGGAAATCCATGCTGCTTATTTATTTATTTTTAATGTAACGCATTTCATCGTCACATCATTAAAGGTTGTGGATGATGACTGCAGAGTTCCCTTGCAGTCCCTGTGTGAAAAGGCACACCTACCCCACGCTTCCGACAAGTTCCTGGAATCCATTTTGAAAGTTAACATACTCCTAGTATGATACGCTTCTTATACATCGTATAGTGGGAGGAGGGACGACAGGAAGCGTGATTGCAAGTCGGTTGACGGAGAACCCTCACGTGAAGGTGCTGTTACTCGAGGCTGGGTCGGATGGAACCCTGCTCTCGTGGATCCCTGCAGCCGCTGCCTTGATGTGGTCGCTCGACAAGTTCGATTACCGCTACACCAGCGAGCCTCAGGAGGATTCCTGCCTCGCTCTCGAAGGAGGGGTGAGTCATGTCACTTGTAACCACTTCTTTGAGGTCAAGTCGTCTCATCCTGTTAATGTTGGATGCCCCTTTCAGCCTCAAGCATTAGCCCGTTCTCTCCAGAGGCATATTGAATTGATTTAAAGCGAACAGAACTTCTTTCTCTTCCTGATATGGATCTCATTTCAAGTGCGAGGCATCCTTATATTCTATCCCAGAGAGGGGCAGCAAATACGAAAGCAGATATCAATGGGCCTCGCATTATAAACAACAGAGTAAATAATTTTGCATTGCTATGGGAAGGAGAGGGGTCTACGAATAAGCATTCCTTCCTTTTCCTTCATTCGTTTTGAATAGAATTATTTTATCTCCTCACTCATTCAGAAGGTGTCATTTCACTATGGATAGAACTGCCGGAATCGAGACGAGGATATATCAGGAATATGCCATAATGATAATGCAGTGAGGAAAAGAAAGATACGAAAAAAGGAGAATGTCGTGTGCATACCATATTAATAATCCCGTATGTAGCTATGCGTCAGGTTTTGGATTCTATCATGAAGCCAGTAAGTGAAGTAGGAACCTAGGATGTATACATTTATAAACTAGACACTATCTCCATTTCATGCTTTCTAAAAAAAAGCACAAAATAAATGAAGAACGACTGGCATGCATGAAGGAAGATATGCAAAGATTGCGGACGAAACAACGTTGGAAACGCAAATGGAAAGAGTCCTATTTGTTTTTCTTCACATGTATGCAGAAGGAGAAGTGAGAGCATGCTAGAAGTAGCCTATCATCAATGTGGGACTTGATACACAGGTATTCATTTGGATGAACGGATAGCGTATGTGGAAGGAAACTCAAGTAGCATGCATTGCGCAGGACAAGATCATTGTCTTAACCTCAAGGGTGAACTCATTGGGTTCGATAGCACTGAAACAATAAGATGCTTCAGGAGATACCCGTGCAAACCATTACAGATTTGTAAATACGAGTAAACCAAGACTGTTTCTTATGCACACTTCTGGTCTGTGATGAAGACTTCACATCATATCCAGCTGCGCATAACGCGTCGTCTGGGCCACATATCTCTCCTGTATATATATCGACAAGAACGGTTGCCAGAACTTCCCAGGTTGATTCAAGATGGTTCAACACTCGGTAGGTTACATTTGGAAGTTAAGAGCTTGCGTTCACAGGAATACATGTTTTCTCTTGGCCTGAACGTCCACTAATTTTACCGTTCTTTTCTGACGTTGGTCTATCAGTAAACCCAACCGTTCCAATGATAACAATAGTGTAGTCCACTATTAAAAGCAGTAAGACTTGATTTTACTGATGGGTGAAATAGAAACACTCTCCACTCATCTTTGGAGTCGTCAAGTGCATTCATAAATAAGTTTTTGTCTCATTATGGACAGTTTTTCCATGGACCAACAAGTAAATTGCTTCTTGTATGTGCCCTCAGCGATGCCGTTGGCCCCGTGGCCGGATGCTGGGAAGAAGTTCTGCCCTGAACGGCGCCATTTACATCCGAGGGAATCATAAGGACTACGACAACTGGGCCGCCTTGGGGAATCCTGGCTGGTCCTTCAACGACCTCCTCCCGCTTTTCATTAGGGCTGAGAAATTCCTTGTAAAAGATGCTTCGGCCAGTAAGAGCGTGCAATATGCTTCAGGGTTGATGGGTGATCTATTATTTGATTCTTCGAGCACGTTTCGAGCATAATTGATGGGGATGTAAAGAACTATTTCCTTGTTTTAGTTAATAACTTGATTCAATCCAGCAACGAAAGGCGATGAGGAAAAAATCAGCTGGAGTGCCGCCAGGAGGTCGTCTCACATGATAGACTCTACTTGATATTCCTGAGTTTTACCACCAAAAGACATCATGATCCACTGCCATCTGTGGAGCGAAACAGCATTTTAAATTATTAAGTTATGAGATCATGTTTGAAAATGTACGAGGGATGATCCAAAAGTTTCTGCCCTGAGATATAAGGGAATGTGACAGACTATTTAAACAAATTTCACTTTTCAGCATTACCTCCCTGGAAATGAAAGCTAGTCCGATTGTTGGAATACTTCTTCAAATTCATTGGGAAAAATTAAATTTCCACCGTGAATTAAAATTGCCGAAATTGCTTCACCGAAGAGACACCATTGTCAGTTTACATTTATATCATATAAATAGTTTAATACTAAATATAACGTTAAAATTACTCCGAATTCAAAATTCTACATCTTGAAACTTATATTTTCAGTGACTAGAACGTGTCTTACATGCAAATTATTATTTAAAATATAAATGCACCTAAGACCGATTGCTGGCTCTTCAAATTCCTGAAAAGGAAGAATGAATATGGGAACCAAATTTCAGTTTTCTCCGATCTTTCCTACTATCTCAGGGCAGAAACTTTTGGATCGCCCCTCGTACCTGGTTAGAATTTTGAGGGACGCCATTCCAATAGTGGTAACAAGAACCAATGGAAATACTATTATCATAAAAACTGGGGAAAGACTACGAAATGCTTCGTTCTGATTGCTCCTGCTGATCTATAACAAAAATAGCGTGAAATTTGTCGCAGTTGAATGAATTACCGTACAAGGGTTGAATTGTAATAATAATAAAAGCCTCCGCATCACACGCTTCGCATACCTCAAGTCATCTTAAGTTCTACGTAGCATGATGGTGATAGGGTGGTGAAATCGATTGGAAATTTTACCGTTGGGATTAATAGGTGGAATAATTCACTCGTCGAAATTTCTCGGGTCACCTACTCATAATACGTTGATATGAGCCTTTCTGTGGAATTTAAGTTGGGCTGCAACCGTTGCCGCGGTCTACTGCAGGGACCATGCGTAGTAGCTCCCCCTCTGGTAATGTGTTCTGAAGTTGGAGTAGCCATTTTGGGGTTGGGAAGACCATGGGAGTTTGCGCTGCCCTGTCATTTAAAAGGTATTAAAGAAGACAGACCGGTTTCGATCTGGGATCGGATATAATGAAGGTGCGTGCCGTGGGTTGGCCGCTCCTGCACTGGTGCATTTTCAGATGCCCTTTTTCATTCGGTAATTAGCTGTAAGTACTTCGTTTAAAATTGGAAGCTTCTGTGCTCCAAAAACATACTAATGGTAGGAGATGCTTTATATCATGGGACTGGTGGATATTTTCCCGTATCCCACACATACTTCACGGAACTGCTGTCACCATTCATAGAGGCAGGGAAGAGCCTGGGCTTCCTCCATAATCACGACTACAACGGCGCCTCTCAAAGGGGTTAGTTTCGTTCGAGGTAACGCATCATCGTACGTGCTAAGCGCGTTCCAAGTCTGCTTCCTAAATATGACCGTTGTGCAGGTTTCAGCAGAGTGCAAGTGGCGGCCGAGGAAGGAATCCGGTACAGCACAGCCAAAGCGTATCTGACGCCTGTGAAGCATCGCAAGAACCTTCAAGTCGTCCTCAATACCGTTGTCTCCAGAGTAGGTAGATGAAGGTTGTCAGTTCCGAAACATGTAGTTTCCTTTTGTGGGCAGGAATCTCGAAGAAACATGGCTTCTATTAACACTTTCTGTCCTAGCGATTTCACTGCTCTACATGATTTGTCAGTAAGATGACGGGCAATGGAATAAAATTGTTTATGGTCTCATCTTGTTGGCAAGAAGAAGGTGCGTAAGAATTTCCTAATATGTCTATTTATTAATACTGCCGCTTTTCCACCATGACAATATTAAGCATTGGAAAATGCCACCATGCGTCCGACGTGTATTGCAGGGCAAAGTTATGGATAAGGTATATTGGTGCATTCGTAATGGGTAATGACTGGAGAGGTTCCAGTTATGCCCCTTCACCCCCTCCCTCCTTCGAAATGTCCTTGTCGCATCGTTTTTAGACATCTAAATTTTCATTCTAAGAGATCGCAATCTCTAAAATTGATGCTAAAAATCATACGAATAGGTTAGAATTGTTAGATTACTTGTCGTTGGCCCTGCTGAGGAAAGAAATTAGCGCCTGTAAGGAGTATTTCTTCATTGGAGCACGAAGCACTGATCAGAAATAAGAAATAGCTCACTTCTGTTGTTCTCAAGCTGGTTTTCAGCAGTGGCTATTGTCTTTCAGCATGTTTGTCTGAGATTGGCCACTTGGAGAAGTTTCCATATGTTTTTCCTTCTCACCAGATCGTGTTAGACGAGACAACCAAGACGGCGAAGGGGGTCGAGTACCTGACGGAAGGAGGTTCCACGCGCTTCGTATCTGCCAAGAGGGAGGTGATCCTGTCGGCCGGGGCAGTTGCTTCTCCTCAGCTCCTCATGCTCTCCGGGATAGGGCCGACAGAGGAACTACATAGACATGGGGTAAGCCTATACTCATATGCACTCGAGATTCCTTCGCTCCAAAAGTATTTCTGACACGTCCCAGTCAAAGCTAATAGCCAAGTTCTCTAATAAGACTTCCTTTCTGAAGCGAATTATATCGTATTGGTTATGAGCAATTTTAAAAATTAATGCAATATCAATATACCGTATAATTTCGCATCGAGAAGAGGCTCGCTTTGGATCTATGATCCCTAATGACCTGAAATTGAGAGGATCTCGCGAGAGTAAACAAACAAATTACCTGTCTCTCAATGGATAAACCTCTGGAAGTTGCAGAGAGAGAGAGAGCAATAATCATGCATTACTGCTCACATCCAGATCCGTCCCATCGTGGATCTTCGAGTGGGTGAGAACATGCAAAGCCACACGGGCCCCGGTGGGCTCTACTTCAGCATCAAGAAGAAATCTGGATTCTATATTCCTCGCCTATTCACGACCGACCTCATTCCCAGCACCCTCCAATACGTTTTGAAGGGCGACGGTATTGTTCCTTCCCTCTCTTGGATACTGCATGTGAAAATAGATAATGCGACTCTCAACACGTTCCGTTAGTGGTTACGCCCGTAATCAGATAATTTCCTAAACTAATTTCTCTCTTGTCCTTATGATGGAATAATACTTTTTCCAGAGAGTGCATTCGTTCAGTGGCTCTTGCCATATAATTGCCCATAATAACCTCATCTATCAATGCTCTGAAGAATCATTCCCGCTCTTTGGATTGGAAATGCAATATTTGCACGTCTTAAGAATGCCAACAAAAGTTTATGCTTAGCGTCTTTTATTGCACTCATACCATAGTTAAACAAATGCCATTTTGGAACTATTGCCGTTGTTAAACTAATGCCTTTGTTGAACAAAAGGCCGAAATCATCTTCATATTTCGGCAAATCACAGCAAAGGTGATGACAGTTCTATCGCAACGGCACTAAAAAGACATTTCCGGGTGAAATTGGACTTATAAGAAAGAAACTGAGAAAACGTCTGTCCTTTCCGCCCCTCAACAACTGAAGGAATTAGAAGCGAAAATGAGTCGAGAGCTCCTGTTCCATCACGCTTCGCGGCTTTACGTTCCGATTATTTATTCCAAAAGGATGTCAGTCGCGATTGAAAACGGATTTGGCAGAAAATGTGAAAAATGTGAAAAATGTGAAACGTTCTCTCTGACGCGTTCTCTTCGTGAATCTCAGACTCTTTCATGGACCTTATTATAATGATTTATTCCCGAAAGGAAAAATGAAGTTCTTCACACTATTGTGTGACAAATGCAATTGAAAACAAGTGCTCCACGGCAAGGCCATAGACGTCCATTTAAATGGGTTGACGTCTTCGCGTTTCGAAGACGCCAAGAAAAAAATTCGGTCCATGATGGAATCTTTCCAGGACAGTTCTCGGCTGCATCCGGTTTCGAGGGCGTCGCATTTGTGAATTCGTCGTTCGCCCGGGATCCGGAAAGGCCGGACATTGGCATCTATTACAGTTCGCTCACACTGGGAACTGACGGAGGGATCATCTATCGGTCGAGGATCGGGCTTGGTGATGAGGTTTGTCCTTTATCAAGTGAGGCAATAAAAACAGATGACGTCGAGTTGCTGCAGCGTATTAATGTTATATTTAAATTTTCGGTGATAATTTGGATTTCTATATTTAAGTTCAAGTTTAAAAAAAAAATATTGTCATAAAAATCGTTATTACTTCACGAATGATAAAATGTTTAGAAAATTGATCAAGGTAGAAAAGCAATAGAATTGCCGAGTTACATCGCTACAAAAATTTAACATGATTTGAACGAAACATTCCTGAGGTACAACCGACTCAAGGCCAGTCTTTCTTGCCGTGTCCTGTACAAAAAGTACGCCAAAAAGTACGTCTCTCGTGTCCTGTATCTTTCGGCTTCCTCTTAAGGCGTGGGAAACGTACAAGGGATTGCTGTTCCAACCCGGTTTCGCGATTTATCCTCATGCCATACAGCCGAAAAGTCGAGGGAAGATTTTGCTACACAGCACCAACGTTAAGGACCATCCAATCATTATAGGGAATTATTTCAAGGATCCGGCAGATCTCAAGATCGCAATTGAAGGTACTGCAAGTACTCCTATCGATTTCCTCGGGATCTTTAAAACAAGTTCTAAAGGGAATCTCCGATCGTCTTCAGGCATTCGTTTGGCGCTGCGGTTGGGAGAGCAACCAGCATTCAAGAAGTTCGGTGCCGAATTCTACAGCGAGTCCCTGCCAGGTTGCAGGCATCTGAAACAGTTCACGGACGAGTACTGGGAATGTCACATTCGTCAGTTCACGTATCTTTTCTTCCACGATGTCGGCACGTGCAAAATGGGACCTCCCACCGATCCCGGAGCTGTCGTGGACCCAGCCCTAAGGTATAACATTCCCTGCTAATAGAACGGTCAGTTTGACACATGAAAATTAATGATTTATGAAACGCGCAGGGTTTACGGAGTGAGGAACCTGAGGGTTGCGGATGCATCCATCATGCCGGTCATCGTGTCGGGAACCACGATGGCAGCCGCGATCGTGATCGGGGAGAAGGCCTCCGATCTCATCAAGTCAACTCATGGCATCAGCGCTTCATCGAACTAAGTCTTCACTAAATAATTCTCATCAAGCATGGCCAAAATCCCAAAATCATGCATCGTGTCTAGTTCCGGTTCCAGAATTTCGGTAATGAAATGACCACATCGTCATGAGCCATTAATAAAAATGGCCGACTTTCATGAATCTTACATTCATTATACTGTACGTTGTCCAAAACTAGCTTCCTTTGTTCATCTAGCGAGAATACGCTAAATGTTATAGTACTGCTGGTGCCATTTTTTCCCATCTTGATCTATAAGCTGAGTGCATTACAAGTTTCAGCCTATTGTGACTTGTTCTAGGGACGTGACAGTCAGTTGTGAGTCTTATTTTTTTTAAAATATATTTATGTTTTGAGAAAACCTAAATAGGTGAATTCCTGACGTGGCACGGGCACAGCGCTCCAAGGTTGGAGAGTGCATAATGTTCAGGCGGTGTCGACTTGTTCAGCAAAGGGCAGACATAATGCCAGCACAACTCCTACTAGTGAGACCTACGCTGCCTCGTAACTTTTCTTTTTTTGGTACATCTCAATAAAAATCATAGTTCTGAGGGGGCATTCATGAAGATTCATGAATGACCTTCCATCAACCTCAAAATGGAATGAAAAATTTTGGAAAGGGCGTCGGTGCTGCCTGCCGAATCATTCGAAGCGCAAACTTGTCCAGAGAGCCTGAATTCGACCTTGACGTATTGGCTGCCAGGGACCAAAGGGGTCGGATTAGAGGCCTCATCCGTCCCTTAATCTGAGATTCTGCAACGAAACATTTTTTTAAATGCCCGACGTCAGCAGAGGCGGATTTGTCGCTTTACAAAGACTTAAATATAGATTTAAATATAAATATATTTAAATATAAATCCTCGACTGGGATTGGTTCTTTCGGGAGGTCTCACTTCAAATTCCGAGCAGGAGGGTTTCTTCGGATGATATGCCAAGATTAGCCTGGAGGTGCTTCATTGCACCTTGAATCAGTTCATTATCGAGGTCAAATAACTGGCCTCCTACCTTGCCACTGATGCAAATTTGAAATTTTCAAAATTGTCAAAATTTTTTTAAATTTCAAAAAGGGCGAGTGTTATTGTCAAGTACGGAATTTATCGCATGTTCCGACATTTTCATCATCTTATGAATGCCACCTGCACTTCGAAATGAGTGAATTGTCCTCGTGGATTTTAAGGCCTGAATTTTCAAGGCCTTCGCCTGCATCTGGCCTTTTTCATGCATCAGATGGATGCTCATGACGGCTCGAATGGTGGTCTCGTGTTCCGTCTTCCGAAACGATCGAAAAAAAGACCCCCCCCCCTCCCCCCTTCCCCCTCCCTCCCCACCACCCTTCCCTCTCCCTCCCCTCCCCCCTTCGTGCAGGCCATGCGCGCAGTATCGAATAGGAAGGAAAATGGAGAAGTGGACTCACGCACGACTCGCATGCGACCGCCTCTCGGCCGTTAGGACTCCTGTGGCTCGTCGGATTTCCTCAGTCGCGTCTTGCCATTGGCATTGGATTCTCGGCTTTGCTGTCCCCAGTCACGTGAGTGCCTGGGTTTTCATCTTTCACTATCCGGGGGGGGGGGGCATGGGGGGGAACCAACGGAGAACATCTCAGAATCGGGGATTAGGGCGATTTTGGATTAGTTGGGGGTAGGGTTCACCTTAGGCTTGGACCGGATAATCTTAAGGGAATTATCTCATCAATTGTTACAGGGTTGGTCAACCCTCCAACTCTGGGAGGCTTTTATAATCTCCCATTCAATTTCGAGGGTTTTGGGTATTTCTCACTAGCATTGGCATCGGGACTCCTGTATTCCCTTTAAACTTCTATTCTTCACGGAGAAGACCGGATTCCGAGGTGTAAAACTGAAATTGCAGGGGAAAAGCGAAAAAAAAAAGAATGTGGAGCAAAAGCACAAGACGAAAAAGGGAGGAAGACTTGAAGGAGTCGGTGATGAAAACCATTTATCATATCAAATAAATTATTTACCATATATACCATATTAGCTTCTGTTTGACCCCCAGTGAAGACTCATCACTCATCGTACTTTCAGGAGTTGCGTCGAAAAAGTAGACAACCAGCAGCAATTAGGGCCTTGACCTTATCTCTTCTCGACCTTAACCTTGACAGTCAATTAAACACGTAAGGTTCAAGAAACGAAAATAGTCCGAATCTTAGCCGTTAACGCGATTTTGTAACGGGAAGCGTAAAGTCGACAGTCCCGACCGCGATGGGTGATGGATGTGCGTGACGCGCGTGACTTACGTACCTTGTGATGGGCGTGCGTGCACAGCCGCCCCCCCCCCGCCCCCCCGTCCTCCCAAA